AAACACCTATTAACAACAACAACTCCAGACCTTACCAAAAACAACCTCATTATTAGCACTCTCATTATTAGCTACTCTATTGACATTTATTCTATTATCAACTACCTCGTTAGCAGAAACATGAACGTTTCCGGCCCTTATTTCTTTTTTCAATTTATTATTATAATAAATTAAATAACCAATAGTAACCAATAATGCAACACCTACAACACATCCAACAACTGACCCTACGATAATTCCGATGTTCAAGTTGTTAGATACGTTCGATGCACCCGTTGTGCTCGTTGTGTTCGTTATGTTTGGATTTGGATTTAACGCTCGTGGGCTATACAAATAGACCCATTTATATTGATTGTTTGAGATGTCTAGGATGCTTACTGTATTAATAAACTTTGAGGTGCCAATTATGCCTAAAAAAAAAAAAAAAAATGTAATTAAAAGCAAGTTACATTTTTAATATAATTTATGAAAGCAATGATGATAAAAAATAAAATTCCAACTATTACTTACCGAATGCGAAGAATATATAATCGTCATAAAGTGTTGCCGTATGTGAGTTCGGTGTTTCAGATGGTGAATTACCAGAAGGCGTAATGAGCGTCCAAATATAATTAGTAAGATTTAAAACCGCGATTCCATCTATCGTTTCAGATGAATTGGATATGCCTCCGAACATTATTATGCTTTGATTATTAGTTGCAAGGGTGGCTGTATGACCCCATCGAGCAGAAACTGATCCAATTATCGTAGCTATCTGTAAAGAAGAGTTAATCTCTCGCGAAATAAAATTTCATTAAGAATACAGTATATACCTTCTGTGACCATTGACCAGTTATCGTATTGTAAATGTCGAGCTTAAGAAATTTGCTGTTAACATTATTATGGCTTTATTTATGTGGATGCCATTTATCGTTTGCAACTCGTAATTACCTGTGCAATATCGGGATTAAAAATTCCTCCAATCATAATTATATTTCCATCAGGAATCAATGTCGCTGTATTGCGTTGACGACCTATTGGCTGAGTTGGCACTGTATTGATACTCCAGGAATAGTTTAATACATCAAGTATGTATATTGCTCCATCATTAATAGCGTTATTAGGACTTTTATGTTTTGTGGTTATAAGATCTTGCATTATTAGATATACAGTAATTTATAGCTTTCGTTTTAAGCAAATATACATACTTGACAGTTTCAGAACCTCCCCAAACGTACATTTTTGCTTTCGTAAAATCGATAACTGCAGTTGACCATTTTCTCTGAGATGGCCATGAGTTAGGATTTGAACTACTTGTGCTTGTAATCGTTCTGATAAAATTAGAAGGTACTTCTTTGATTATAACGAGATCATTAATATTTCCGACCTAAATTGATTGTAAAAAATTATTTTGGTTTGCAAAATTTTCTCAAGCCAACAATTTTATGTAATGTAGTTTTTTTTCACACCGTATCATATCCGCCAAAAATAATCATTTCATCTTCATAAGTAATCGCACTATAACCTCCTTTCTGCGTCAATGTGAAATTGAATTGAAATGGCGGATTGGAAGCATCGAATGATTGACTCAAATCGATATAAAAAAAGTCATTTAAAACAGATGAATTCCATCCACCATAAAAATATATTTTATTTGACAAGAGTATTGCTGCAAAATCTGTTCTTGCAGCAGGAATATAAATTGCGATGCATTTGTTAAGCAATAATAAAATTAAAACAATAAGTTTGATATATGAATGCATTTAACATAAACGCATTTAGACATGAATGCATTTAGATGTATCATTTTTAACATTTCATAAATATTTACAAAGTCATATTCCTTTTGTGTAATGTTAATGACAGTACAATTTGTAAATTTTGAAATTTGTATCAGGTCTCACCGCTATCAATAAGCCAAAGTCATTTATATATCACTATATATGAATTGTTCATATTGTGCATTAAGTAATCTGTTTGATTAACAACTAAAATATTGCTTTGTTATCTGAAAAGATAAAACATCCTCAACGTAAAATAAAAATTCCTATATTGCATAATGAAACATTAAAGGGTATTTGTGTTGGAAAAAACAAGGAATCCTATAGCGAGTGATAATAATCATGAAAATGCTTTATATGGAAATTTTGGACTATCTGCACATAAAATTCTGAGTAGCATTGTAAGTAATCCATATTGTTTGAAAGGTATTTTTGAAGATTAAAAAAAAAAAAAAAAGCACAGAAGATATGTTGTCACGGGGTTATGCGATACTCACTGGTTAAGAAATTATACTTTAACTATATAAATAATAATCAAGTAATATATAGTACAAATTATAATTTATTTACTATATATTTACTATATAGGCAATATATGTATATATATAGTTTAATATATTTTTAGTTAATACTGTATGTTTAAATATATACATAAATTACCTAGTGAATATATACTGCAGTAAATAAGTTATAATTTGTATTATATATTATATACTGGTTATTATTTAGTTAAAATATGATTTTTTTACCATGTCTAATAATTTAACACCGAATTCTAGCCAGATACGGATCTAACGAACACTCGCTTATTTGTTTATTAAAATGATATTAACGATAATAATATTGAGAAGACTTGTTAGTTGAATTTAACTAGTATAAGATCTCTAAGACTTCTATTTTTCTTTCCCTTCACATCTCTTATTTATACCCTACATACTATACAATTACGTTATTACTAATTACATAGTTTATTTAACTCTATTATAGTTTCTGTTATACATAGTTACTTTAGTTTTGAGTTACCGTCACTCACGTGACGTATGTTTTAAGATATGACTAATAGTATGATACGTAATCTTGCTAAAAGCATCCACAATAAGTAAGTATATGCACATATTTTAGTATATATTCTAATCACAAACATGATTATTAGGATGGTAGCTATTTCCGCGAGGCAGCATTGCTTTTTCATTTCAGCAATTTATATTACCTTTTGCGACACTAATTGTGCTTGTCAAGCTTCGATAATTTTTGAAAAAATATTATCCAATTTAGATTAAATCCTAAAAAATTTTAGCTCATGTGGCAGATAGAATTAAAGTCACCATCTGGAAGGCTAGTCATTGAAATTAAATAACGATTAAGAAATTGCGTACCAG